CTGTAGTGATCAAAGTGTCAGAGAATTAGAATGTGCAGCAACTAAAGTATTTTCGGAAAGTAAATCGGCATTTATACCTTATCAAGTGACTTGGACTCTGCAGCTGTAGCGTGCAGTGAGGTACGCTTATTCAAAACTGATAAAGTGACTGGCACATTTCACTGGCGCCACTCTGCTTACAGACACATTCCGGATACGGTAAGTCCGGTAAAGCAGCCTCACTATACTAAAAAGTAATCAAACTTTTCATAAGGAGGGCCAATTTAACGGACCCATTTTTACTTCACCTTGTTAAGATCCCTTGAGTAAAAGCACTAGATTGAATATTCCTAGTTGGTTAACAGTAAACAGTGATGTACACTGACATTTGCCAGCATCTGACGCCATTGAATTTTGTATTCATGACGTCGGGCCATATTCAGTCTCTCATTTAGATAATAATCAAAAATGATATATTTTACAAATTTTTAATTGCAAGGTTTTAATGTGAGAGGTGAAACTGAGAACTTGTCTGCAATAAACTGCTCGGGTCAGGCTCAAAGTCGTCGATTTTCATATGCGTAAGTAAGAATCACTTAGTCTCGTCCACAAGGTTCTTGTTAAAATGCAAACTTGATATTGTCTGCTCACGAAGTATATGGAGACAAACAAACTGAGCATTCTCACAGCAAAGCTTCGAATTTCTTGGAATCTGTCTTTATTCATCTGGTGGGAAAAATTGAGGAGACAGAGAAAGAGAGAGTTGTTGGTGCCGACTGCGACGTTCAACACCACTTTCTAGTGCAATGAGCTTCAATCTCAGGTGGCCTGAAACATTGTTAGAATCCACAGAGAAATGCGAAGTAAAAAATCCGACTCCCTTTTCAATGGCTGCAAATTCCTGAAAGCCCCTATGAAACCCATCAGCCAGGAGTATAATATCTGCAATACACTGCATTTGTGCGTTGAACTTACTTGCTGGAATCACGAATGCCCTATCCTGTCATACCTTCATCTCGTTCAACGCTCCCCTGGCTGTGATTCCCTCTACCATTTACCTAACTTATCCTTGTCCCAAAGACTTCGTTCCTCTGGGTCAATGCACATTAGGTTACCGAGATTGGATTAATTACGTTTATTTTGCACTTTGAGTACGTGGATAACAGTCAATCATGTTTTAGCTACTTTGCTTACCTCGGAACAAACCACTTTCGGTTCACATGGTAATGCGCGATGTGTTATCGGTGCATTTAGAATGTTTTAATCTATTCACTGTGCTCACCACTGTTCACCGCAAGTGACCTGACAATATTGCAGTTGTTGTGAATGGAGGTCAAACATTGAAGGAATTTGGTTTGATACGTCTACTGTTTTGTTCCCCCTTTATGTAAATTGGCACAGAAGGCTATCACTGTGTGTAGTGTGCGGATTCTCACACCCACGGCTCATGGTAACTCGCTTCTTTCCGACTGATCTTGTGCAAGCCCCTTTTAAGCCACAATGCACTGAGACGAGTTCATTCCTACGTGCGTCTCGAAGCCATATTTGTTAGCTATTTTTGATTGTTGCCGTTGTTGAAGCGTCTGTGCCGGAAGCACAGATTATTGAGGTAATGTATATTTGTTGTTTTTACTTGATTGCCGATAGTACCGTATACCAGTTCCGGTTTTGTTTTGTTGATCCCGGTGGAAGCACGTTAACTCAAAACTTCCACGAGAATTGTCGCTTACACTTGTCCCGATTTCTTGTAGTGATTGACAATTTGTGATATGTGGCTGCGTTTTAGACAGCTGTCTTTGGAAAAGTTACTGCTTATTCTTAAAGGCTTTGATGTGCAAACACAATTGGCTTACCAGTGCATCCTAACATGGAAGGCTCGTGTACAACATATTCAGATGCCAAGTAATATTAAAAATCAGCCAACGAAGCAGGATCAGAGAGTTCTGGCATCGATTGTCCCTTATTTTCCATGAATTGTCCAATTTCTTGTCTAAAAGTGAAGAAGCGACGCATTGTAGTCCCTCGACTGAGCCATCCTTCCTCATTGCGGTGCACGACATCTCCGTATTCACCTTGCATGTCGAGTAAAAAGTGACGAAACTGACGATGAAACAGGACCTTACTACGAAGATAGTTGATAGTTTTTATCAACAGCTTCATAACATGATCACACCTAAGATGTTTAGTACAAATATCTTATTGATGAATAATGCAGTTGAGTTTACTGACTTTAGCTGGTTTAAAATGTTTCGGAACACTGGTAGCTTAGGTTGATGATACAATTGTTCATTTGTTCTCCGACCTTGGCGGCTTTGTAGCAAACGTTTCACCACCATGCGAGGTGACTTCTTCAGTGCAGTGAGATGCGGCGTGCATACCGCAACATTTGTGACAAAACCGCCGAGCTCGGAGAACAAATGAACAATTGACTTTAGCTGACTTTGTTACAAACAAGTGTTCCTAATCCACTGTGCTCGCTATTCATGGCTGGGGCACCCTCAGTAATAATTCCAGAGCTTTTTCCATGACAGTTTAAGGTCAATAATTTTGGAATAAACAGAAACAAATGTATCTATTCCTCTTGTTCGGTTCTTAACTCCGTGCAAGTCAAATAATTCCTCACTTACACACATATCATTGTTAATGTATTTCAAAAAAGGGGAAGCTGGGTAGTGTCAGGTGCGTCAGTAATTTCATTACGGGCTATCGAAGAAAGTGAAATTTCGCTCATTTTGCTTCCAATAGTCCCTTAATAGCAGAGGTGATGTCTTCGATTCTGCGAACCACGGTGTTGTGTGCCAGACAAACATTGGCAAACTTGCGTTTTCTTAGGACAGATATTTTCCACAATTCTTATCATACATTCTGTGACAAGCTGACCTTCAGTAAATGGTTTGTAGTGTTTCGCTATTAGTTCGGCCACCACATAACTTGCTTTATCGCATTTTCATTCGAATGACCGATTTTCGCAAACAAGTCTTGCTGTGACGCTACTCCCGCTCCCAGTTGCTTTACTTTCACAACTCGTTCATTTTTAATCCGCTTGTCATAGTTAACACACTTCATTTGGTAGTGCCCCTTTATAGTGAATTCCGTGAAATAACGGCAGTACCCAAAAAAACCTAGCACACACACACACACACTTATTCAATCGTTCAGTGAAAAATACCAGTTTCTAGTATTCCTGGAAGCTGCGTAAACTTGAAAATTTTTGCCTTTTGTAGAATTAAATAATCAGAAACGTACAACTCTTAAGCCTAAGGAAGTACACTCAAACCTGTCTAAGGCGACCACTCAAGGGACAGACAAAAATTGGTCGCCTTGGTCAGGTGGTCGCCATGCACAGATTCATGCTTAGGGACAGTACTCATAAATGAAAACGTTGTGGAAGTCTTTGACTGGTCACCATAGGCAGGTGGCCGGCACAATACGTTGAACTGTACCTTAAAGCAAACTAGGGCATAATAAAAATTTGGTGACTGAGATCACCTATAAAACAAACATCCCGTTCACAGAACGGGCTAGCCTTAGCTACTGATATATATCAATTTAACGAACCCATTTTTACTTCATCTGGTTAAGATCCCTTCAGTAAAAGCACTAGATTGACTATTCCTAGTTGGTTAACAGTAAACAATACTACATCACTGACATTTGCCGGCATCTGACGCCACTGAATTGTGTACTCATGACGTCCTTAAATTTTTGTAGTCTATGTAATGTCTGTAGGGAAAATATCCAAGCTTGAATTTATTATTTCATCAGCAGGTCACGGGCTAGTTGAAATGTAAACGCTGGTCTCGTTTATCCCGCTGGCCGGAATTTGCGCATCCCTGCGCTAGACGGTGCAAGACAAAAAGCGCAAATCTCCGACCTGTTTCATCCAATAGATCTGGAATACCGAGAGCAGAATTCCTTGGGGCACATATATCGTAAAGTGCGAGGTGAAGAAGGTTGACTTCAGCGTTTATAAGGCAACCATCAGCTGCCATGTGAGTTCATGCGGCAATTATTCGCACCATCTTCCGGCTTCCGAAATGCTCCGGAGAGGCACGCGGTTAAAACCGTGTAACATGAATGTGCCATTGGGCACATTGTACCGTCTCAAGCGCTACTGTAAGCTGAAATCCAGCCACTGTCCGATAAGATCCAATGGTCGACACCATAGGATTCTTCAGTCCGGTAACGGGTATGCCAATTGAAATTCGGCCGAGACACTTGGCTGACGGACCAAATGCATTGGACAAAGTGAGAGTGGGGGCCGTCGTATTTGATCTTCATTTGTGCTTCTTGGCGGTCCTGTGGTTATGCCCAGCCTGCTTCACCCATACAGAGGTCCGCCATACCCAACAATCGTAAACCTGTAATAACTCACTTTCTCGTGGTGATTTTCGTGGTGAATTGTGAATTCCAGCAAGTCGCGCCACCTCCTCGAGGGCAGATAAGCAGTGTGTGCTCAGTGGGGTGTTGATTGCACTGTCGATTACGCGTTCGTACTTCATTTTCTCTGTGAGGCGTAGCACATACGCTTCACTTAACTTGCCTATCATCTCTGCGTCAGTTAGATCAACGGTACTTCTACGTTTTACTCAGCCATGCATCACCTGTCTCCTTTCCGTAGTTCATCTCAGACAAGTGTGGCTGATAGTTCAGTGGAAGCTATTGGCTCATACCCCCCAACGAAGGTTTGACTATTGTAGGATGCTGCCAAAATTGTCTATGTACTCCTATTTGTCCCCCCTATCTAAGTAGCCTTGCTATCTCGTATGGGGTCCAGTTGACATGTTACATCATCAACCGAATGGTCCTCGCGTTGTGTAGCTTGTTGCAGATGTACGCGGGACTAATGAGCATAAAGTCTGCGCAGCAGCTGGTTGGGGATCGCATTTGAGAGGTCGCTTACTGTCCTGATGAAGTGACCGATGCAGTAACCCGGTGATAAGCAAAATCGGTAGAAAAGTTAAATTTCAGCACTCCTATCCTTCTAGTCAATGAACAAGCGAAAAACTGGGGGGGGGGGGAAACTGTTTATGCGAACACATTGAAAGTGAACAATTTCATGGGTGACAACCCTTGATGTCTAAGTCATTGGACCATTAGAACAGCTAACTCGTAGTTTGCTTGCATGTTCGTGGTTTTCTTTCATCCAACCACCGTGGGTCTGCATCAAGGGGGTGACAGCTGACTGGGTAAAGTACTGCTACTGAAATCTGGCATTCCTCACTAAAGTCAGCTTTGTGAAATGTGAATTCCGGGTCCATTGACTGGCCAAGAACCGATATTGCTTACTTTCGTGCTTCACATCTCCGCCTGTTCATTTCAACTGCAAGGTAGAAGTCAAATATTATAATCGCTATATGGAAAAGAGAAACTACAAAAATGATGCGGGATATTTCAGTGAAACGAAATTAGTCTCATAGAAGCCAGTGGACAGAAAACAGATAAACGAACTCACTGATACCACAGCCTGACCTGGTTTTTTATCCTTCAGTTGGATTACAAGAACTGATGCAAGCATTAGCTATTGATCAGAATTACCTTTTGCCAGCATAATGCGCTGGTGGGATTTATCAGAATTCCCAGACTAATGTTACTGCATTCCATTCCCTAGGCAATACGTTTGCTTCGATTGGCCCAAGACCATACCCTCTCCAAAAGTTAGCCAGCACTCCATTGCAAAAGCAGTAATTGTCCCATGATCAGTCTTCAACATTTCACTACCTAGCGAGAGACAAGGCCAAAGCACGACCCGATGAGGTCACACGGCCTCATAACCATAGGGTCAAAATTAATAGACCGACTTCTGCTTGACTTTTACAGAGTTCATGCTTGCAGTTTGCACGGGCGCGTCGGAGACAGCGACAGCTGGTGAAGAAAATTGGTTGTGACTCATCAGTCGCCTGAGCCTGAACTATTGTCCGTGACCTCAAAGAGTCAAGTGAACGGCGCTGCATATCTGCGACTGAAGCACTGCCTTGCTTGACCTGTTGTGTATGAAGGTTGGGAGGATTAGTAGCATAATGCACACCTCAGTTCATCGTATGTTTAATACTCATTCAGTGAGGTGATTGTGCTCCTTTGTAAAGTCCCACCTTTATAAGTGTAGGAAAAGATCCTGGTTCATACGCGCGCGCCTACAATTGCGCTTAAAATACGCGCCACCTATCTTCAGCCTCAGCTAACGTCTCTGAAGCTGTTTCGCTTGTTCATTTCAATGGTTGCCAACATCCGGTTTCGGATTCGCCTGTCACTGTGGCCAGTCACAGGACGCCTGCGCCTACAGAGGGACCATGGGTGGCTTGCGCTGCACCACCCACAGCTCCAACCAAACACCCCATATCCAGTATAAACCCAAAGGCATAAGACCGGGAGGCATGTGGATGGGAGCCACGTTTCATCAACAGAGCCGACCCACACTCCTTCACAGGCAAACACAAGCACGCTGTATTCGGGGAATCAAGCACACACAAGGCGGTGGCTGGATGTTGCAGCACTCCACACTGAGTGCAAGAAACTACTCTTTGAGCCTAACACGGCCAAAAGGACCGTGCACTCCGTCCCCTCCAGCAACGACCAACTGTCTCCTGGAGACAGTATGAACGAGGTAGTGAGTAATAGACTGGTAGGCACCTTGTCAATATGCAAATCAAGCGCAACCACACTGGGAATATCAAGCGACGGCCATTCACTTGAAACGACAAGCTGAAATAAAATAAATCCAATAATGCATACAGATATGCCGAGATAGCTCTTTAATAAATGAGCATATGAAATAAATTGGTTGCCAAAATATCCGCTATGGTTACAAGACGTCAGAAAATAAAGATTAAGGAAATACCGCAAACGTGAAAAGGTTATCTAAGTTAACTACAATGAACTGGAGCATCGTGTGCAAGTTAATGGAACATAGTTCATGTAGGCAATAATGACGCAGTATCGCAAACCCACCACCTGAAATAAAGAGACCCAGCATGTAAGCAAGCGTTTTGTAAATCGAATACAGCCTACTTACAAACGCTGTGCCGGTTCTTCCTACGTTCTCTACAGGACCCGGTGTCGCTTCGGTCTTGGCCCCGAGTGGCCTCGTTCATGGCTCACTAGGCCTGCCTGACTCAGGCGCTCACAACCGCGTGTGCCACATGTTGTGTCGTCACTGACGCCTTTGCCCCACGACCGCAAGAAGAAGTCCAAAGACGTGCCAGAAAGGGACGTGTATACATGAAATCACAGTTTCTTATATAGTTTTGAAGGCAAAATGAAGGGGAGCTACTAACTTATACTTGAGCCAACCGACAGAAGGAAAAATGTCAAATGCAACGGGCGAATAAGCAATCGTGCACTTAAGAGCGAATCGCACATGTCCTTAAAAATAGCATCATGGGACTCTAAGCGTAAAGCGAACATCCATTTACAGTGACGGGCACTGGCCCATCAGAATAAGGACATGTAGCGTTTAAACAAATGTTACGAAATAAACGAGAATAAGAAATGCAGACCCAAAACTAGTGACAACTAAATATTCCTTTAATCTGACCAAATAGAACAGTGCTAAGGAGAAAAACCAATGTAAGGTGTTCTTGCAAATGGCACTGCTCAGCGTCCATTAACAAAGACGTACGTGGACCAATCGGGCTAGCCTAGTAGAACGTTTAAACAGCTGTCGAGAAGTAGAAAACAGGAAGAATAAAGAATGGCCAGTAAGCTTGTTCACAAGAAATGGATGTCTAATAGCTATTCTGCTAGTACCACAGTACCATGCGCTCGATGTCGATGGAGTACAACCCATCCGTGCCTGCTTCTTCCGCACTTGCCGCTTCTTCCTTGCTTGCACGTCTTTCTCCTGCACCTGGGCAACTACTTTCGTGACAAGATCGTGCCATGCACGCTGATAAACCACTTTCGATTCCCATGACCTGCAATCAAGATTAGAACGTGAGGAGCTCACTTTGATCATGTCACAGTAACGAAGCTTCGCTTTCTCCACATGACACTTCCCATACTCAGCTGACCATATAATAGTTGTTTCGGTATCCGCATTGAATCCATAAGGCTTACATGACTAAGCCACCACAAGTGTCACAGCAAAAGTATGCAGTCTACTGCATACATCCCACATCGACGCAACACTTCCGTATCCGCAATTCTGCCGCACCAACCGATGCGCAGAATCCGCCGCAAACAGTGTTGATGGAACCGCTCCAGATATCTCACATCTCGCCGAAACATCGTCCACGCTTCGCTGCCGTATAGAAGAACGGATAGCACCATGGATTTGTACACCATCAGCTTCGTGCCAATGCTAAGCTGATGGTTGTTCCACACTCGGTACTCAAGCTTCCCGAATGTCACTGCTGCCTTCAGGCCGCGGATATGAAGCTCACTGTAAAGCTGTAGATCAGTCGACATCACACTCCCAAAGCAGTAGAAGCGGGAGTTGCTTTCTAATACTTCAGCACCAATGCTAATTTGCGGCAATATTAATGGTTGCACCTCTGGTGAAGGCTGAAAGAGACAGACAGTTTTGCTTGTGTTGATGATGAGCCCGAATTTGACAACTGTCGAAGCCAGAGCACTAGTCATGTGCTGCAACTCATCCGCGCTGTGTGAAAACAACGCACAGTCGTCAGCAAACAGCAACATACGGATAGTTGTCTCACAGACTAGAGTTCTCGCACTGAAACGACGGATGTTCAGCAACTCACCATCAATACGGTGCTACACACGAACACTGTAAGCACAAGTGGCATCAAAAGCACAAGATAACATTGCATGAAGATAGATATTAAACAGGGCAGGAGCTAAGACACAGCCTTGCTTCACACCAGAGACAACTTCAAAGTCAACCACTCAGCTGCACCCTCACCGGCATACCACTGTGCAGACATTCACTTAGACTTAAAAACTTAATCGGATAACCAAACTTATCCAACACCAGCCACAATGCCTCGCGGTTCACCGTATCAAATGCCGTGGTGAAATCAACAAAAAGCGAGTACAATGGCTGGTGTCGTTCTCTGCACTTCTCCTGCAATTGACGAGCCGCGAACACCATATCTATAGTGCTGCGACCCGAACGGAATCCACATTGCTCTTCCGCCACGTTAGGTTCCACAACCTGACTGACAAGGCGACTGAGCAGCATTCGGGCAATCACCTTGCCCGCACAACTCAGCAAGTTGATGCCACGATAATTCGTAGCATATTGCTTGCTCCCTATGCGCTTGTACGGTGTGAGACCATGATGCCGGTGTGAGAAAAGAAAGTCGGTGTGAGACAAGGATACCCGCTGTCACCTTTCCTCTTCAACTTTGCTATTGACGAAGTCATGCAGATTGCATTTACAGGACACGACTTAGAAGGTGTGGAGCTACTCCCAGGAGAACCACTTCTTGACTTGGAATTCGCAGACGACATTGCCCTCATCTGTGACAGCTCTCAGACGTACCAAGCCACGCTGGACAGATTAACACTGGCTGTCAGCCACTTCGGGCTTTGCTTTGCACCATCGAAGTTTAAAGTGTTCCTCCAAGATTGGCAGGGATCGCTTCCTGCGCTGACCTTTGGTGGGGATCAGCTAGAAGTCATGCAAAAATTCAACTACCTGGGAAGTTTTATCAGCGCCCGTGGGGTTGAAGATGAAATCGCGAATCGTATAGCAAAAGCTCGGGGCGCTTTTGCTAACCTTCGCCGGCGCGACATCATTCTTGCCCTGAAGGGTAGAGTGTACAATGCAACAGTACGTTCGACCCTACTGTACGGTTGTGAAACATGGCCCATAAGATCGGCGGACCTGAAGAGGCTAGTTACGTTCTACCATCCGTGCCTTCGCAGTTTGACTCACAACTGGTGGGAACACCGCGTGAGTAACGAGCGTGTTCGACGCCTTGTTTACGGCACATGAAAAGGAACCGAACCGCTCAGCACGGTTATTTCACGCACCAGGCTCCGGTGGCTTGGCCACGTGTTATGCATGCCAGCCCACCTACTCTCGCGACGTGCGTTGTTTTCGCGCCGGAAGTAGGGGAGAGGTGGCCAATCGATGTCGGTTGGAGCGTCACGGCTCCTTGGTGTGGGTGTGAAAGACAATGAGCACACTTAGCTGGATATACTTGTTAATATGGCAAGGGGCCGACTTCAGTGGCGTTCGTGCTGTGAGTTTCTTTTTCCCCCCATCCCTCTTAGCCTCCTCCTCCAACCACGATCTCATTTCGTGGCGTAAAATGTATCATTTTTCTTTCTGTAGAATAGCCTGCTGGTAGCTTACCGGAACGATGCTTATCCGTTGCTAGTAGCTCAGCTGGCACGTAACTGTTGTATTTATTT